TGGGTTGCTCTGGAAAGTCCAACCTGCCCAGGTGCATTGCTGGGACAGCCACCTCCCTGTGGTCTGCAGCATGGGCAGTGTGCACTCACTTCCCATCCTACACAGAAATCAGGAAGATGGACCCCCAGTGTCAAAGTTTAATGACGAAATTCACAGCTTCTTCTGCCTTACTCAGGTATTTTAGCTAAACAGATTTTAAAAGAAGTGGGAGGGAGGCCCGGGAACTGGTGGCTCACCCCTGTAATCCTAGCTATTTAGGAGGCAGCAATCAGGAGGATCGTGGTTTGAGGCCAGCCTGGGGGGGGTGGGAGGGGGTGGGGGGGTGGGGGGGAGTGTTGGGGGTTTGGAGATAGGGGAGTGTGTGGGGAGGATCAAGACCTTATCTTCAAAATACCCAACACAAGAAAGGACTGGTAGAATGGCTCAGTGGTACAGTACCTGCCTAGCAAGCGTGAGGCCAAGTTCAAACTTCAGTACCACTAAAAAAAAAAAGAAAGAAAGAATAACCCCCCCCCAGCAAATGGGTGCAGTGGCTCAAGTGGTAGACCACCTGCTTTGCCAGTGAGAAGTCCTGAGTTCAAACTCCAGTCCCACCAAAAAAGAGTACAGGGAGGGTGAGGATCAGTGTTCCTGCTAAGGCACCCGTTCTCCCCGCTCTCCGTGCAGTGTTCAGGCAGCGACAAGGGCACGCCTTGTCTCAGAAGTATTATCACAAGATCCTGTGGACGCAAGGAGTCTCTGCAACCCACCTCCACCAGAGGGAGGATCACACTTGGAGAACTATGGTCGCAATGTCTCGTCCTAATCCCACCTAGCCTCACTGTGCTCTGGTGGTTTGTTCTTCTGTGCTTCCAGAAAGAGCCTGTGTCCCCTTCCAAGGCCCCTGGCAGGGGAGGTGGCCTCTTGAAGCCACAGTTGTGGGTGTGGCCAGCCTCCGGCAGCTGCAGAACGGTTTTAAGTTTGTTGGTGGCAAGCTCTGGCACAGGGCCCGTGTCACCTTCCTTTCCCTTACCTCACTTCCTCTCCCTCTGCCCCCTTTAACTCTTCGCTGCCCCAGGGATGGACAGAGGGACAGAGGCCTGAGGGAAACCCTTCATTTAAAAGAAGCTGCTAGCCTGAACAGGTGGCTCACGTAATCCTAGCTACGTAGAAGGCCAAGATGGGGAGGATCACACTTGGAGGCCAGCCTGGGGAAGAAAAATTTCTGGAGTCCACATCTCACCAGAAAAAAGCTGGGCGTGGTGGGGTGTGCCTGTCATCCCAGCTATGGCGGGAAGCTCAAAATGGGGGGCATGGCTCAAGTGACAGAGCACCTGCCTAGCAAGCAGGAAGTCCTGTACTGCCAAATAAAAAAAATACATAAAGGAAAGAGAAGAAAAAAAGGAAGCCCCAAGAAAGAGTGTTCAGTACTTACTGCACTGTGTCTGTTTGGTTTTGTTCCTTTGTTTTGAAATTAAGATACATATATGTATACTTATATATAAATGATATATTTTAGCAATTCTGGGGCTTGAACTCAGGACCCAGGCATGCTACCACTTTAGCCACTCTGCCTGCCCTTTTTGCTTTAGGTGTTTTTTGAACAGGGTCTCCATTTATCCCAGGGCTGGCCTGGACTCCTTCATTGGGGATCTGGGTACAATATCTGAATTGTGGGGTCACAAGCATTCAGTCCACAGCAGCCACCAAGTCAGGTCTGGCTGTAGGAGGGGAGAGAGTTCACTTGGAGGGAGGAAGGGAAGGTGCAGGGGCACAGAGGCAGGGCTTATTCAGGGTAAGTGGCTAGGTGTCGGGCTCTTGGGAAGAGGAAACAGCAGAAAAGGAAGGGTGGCCGGTGCCAGTGGCTCATGCCTGTAATCCTAGCTACTCAGGAGGCGACGATCAGGAGGATTGTGATCTGGGCAAATAGTTCAGGAGACCCTATTTCGAAAAAATCCATTACAAAATAGGGCTGGTGGAGTGGCTCTGAGGTGCAAGCCCTGAGGTCAAGCCCTAGAACTGAAAAACAAAACAAAGAAGGCAAAGAGAAGGGTGTTGAGGAGGGAGGTGAAGGCTGGGGACGGCACAGCCATCCTGGTTTTACTGTACCACTGGTGGGACCCGTTGCAGGTGCCTGAGCTGTGGAGTGACTGCACAGGGCCTTGCTCCTGCAGGAAGGTGCTGGAAGCAAGGACAGGGCAGTCTGGGTGGTGGGGAGGGGACTGTCTGCTGGCAAGGAGACCGGTGAAGAGGTACCCATAAATAGCTCTGCTTCAACACCTCCCCCACCTCTCCTCCTCCTGTTTCCCCATTTCTAATAATGGCATGACCATTCTTTCAGCCCCCAGGATGAGGTCTGAGTCACTCTGACTCCTCCCTCTCAGTGGCCGTGTCCAGGCAGCTGCCATACCATCTCTGCAGTCCTGCCCTTCTTAGGGGGCTGCCAGGACCCCTCAGTTCTGCTCCTGGCTCAGAGACTCTGGTCTCTCTTTCCCTGAAGCTCCACTTCTCAATGTCCCCTCACTCCTGATGCCAGATGCCACCCCCTGCTTACAAACACTGCACAAAACGAACACCTTGAGTGCAGGCTGGGTGAAGTGGAGGAGCTTGCTTTTCCTTGCCTGCCCATCCAGCCTCCTCCCCATCTTAGAAGAGCCAGCCTGCTGGGTGCTCCCCCGTGCTCTTCAAGGTCTCCCTTGGCACAGGTAATGTTCTCTTTACCAGATGCTTCATGTGTCATCAAAACTCTAGGATACTTCTTGTCCCTGGGTTTGTAATGACTGCGTACATATGTGGCTGACTCCATGTGCACTTGTGTGCTTCCATGGGGAACTTGTATGTGACCTAAACATAATAAGAAAATGGATGCTGGTGGCTCACGCCTGTAATACCAGCTACTCAGGAGGCAGAGATCAGGAGGATCGAGGTTCAAAGCCAGCCAGGGCAAATAGTTTGACAGACTCTGTTTTGGGAATACCCATCACAAAGAAGGACTGGTGGAGTGTCTTTGAGTTCAACCCCCCACACCCCAAAAAAGGAATTTGACTTTAAAAATGTGGAAAGGTGGACCCCCAACTGCAGGGCCTACACCCTTTTCTTTTAAACACCATCTTTCCCTGTAGTACCTTTCAGAATCAAGGAAACAGCACAATAAATAGGACTTCTGGTTTCTCCCTCTTTGTTCTTGAAAGAGTAATGGACTATCAACCAGGTACTTGAGTTTGACCTAGAGTTCTACTACGTCCCAGCTGTGTGACCTTGAGCAAGTGTCTTAACTTCTCTGAGCCAATAGAGCTACCACTGCTGCCTCACAAAAAGCCCTGGGAGGCAGGTGGTGTGGAGGAATTTAACTGATTTGCTGCAGCTGCCTCCATGCAAGGGCCCCTACCCTGGTCCCTCTGCAGGCAAACACCAGGCCCTGGAACCCACTAAGGCTGCTGTAATGACTCTTGCCAGGCCTCTGACCATGTAGGGGTTAGATAGGCCCCTGTGACTGGGTGACAATTTAGCACCCTTCCAGCAGTGACAGTATGGATTGGACAAGAGGACTCCCTGGGGTTCACTCTCCACATTTACAGATGTGGACCCTGAGGTCCAGGGCCCTTTTATTACCAGGTTGGCACGAAAGTCAAATGCCAGTGGCCACCAGTCTCTACCAGTTTTCTGAGCAAGAGAATTGGGGACAAATGAAAGGGACACCGGTTGGTCTGGGACCCAAAGAGCAGGCTTTGACTGAGGCCTCAGACTTTGGAGTAGGGATGTCCAAAAGCAGGCCTCCCCTTGGGCATACTCTAGGGCCAAAACAGTAGTTTTGTAGGGCTGGGACTGGGTGAGGGAAGCTTTGAAGTCAGCAGTTCAAGGTCACCTTCCAGGCCCGCCTCCATCTGGCAAAGCTGGTTGTAAGGCAGTGTGGGAAGCCCGGAACACACGGCAGAAAGGTCGCTTCTATTTGGAGTGAATTAGTGTGAATGAGAAAGCTGGATGGCTTCGTAAGATTTTTCTAAATAAAACCCAGCCCTCAGTGGGTGTCTCATTCCAAGAAAACAGGTTAAGTGACAGGCAATGGGTGTGTGTGGTAGAACCCATCCTCTCACCTGTGCATGCAAACAGGCAAAAAATGCTGCTTTCAGGGCTGGGCAAACCACACAGTGGTTGCCTAGCAGGCAAGGAACCTGGATTCCAGGCTGGAACTGCATAGCTCCCCATCTGGAAGGTGACAGAGGATGGTTTGGTTCTGGGGCACAAGGTGTGCTCCAAGCCTCTTACGTATACATAATATAACTTCACCCAACTCTCCCGGCACCCCTTCTGTTGCTGTCGCTGCAGCCCATTTGGCACAGGGGCTCTGCTAAGGGACTTTGGGGACTAGCACTTTGACCTGGTGAGGAGCAGAGAGGGGATTTCTGCTCTCGCTCTTGGTTAGTCTACACTGCCAGTTGGATCTGAAACTCGAGGTGCCCTGGTCTTGATCCAAGAACGCAGAACGTAAACCGGGCACCGGTGACTTACGCCAGTAATCCTAGCCACCCAGGAGGCAGAGGACAGGAGGATAGTGGTTTGGAACCAGTCTGGGCGAATAGTTCACGAGACCCTAGCTTGAAAACACATCACAAAAAAGGGCTGGCAGAGTGGCTCAAGGTGAAAGCTCTGAGTTCAAACCCCACTACGGCAGGAAAAAAAGAAAAAGGAGAAGGTGCACTTGATTGATTCATTAATGCACCTTGGGGTTCATTCAGCCGCTAAACGCTAAGGACGCAGGGGTTTAGGTTGAAATGTCAGCAGTTGGCACCTGGGCGTCCCGGAGCGCTTGTCCCCTCGCGGGTGTCACGGTCTGTGGCTCCCGCGCACCAGCGCTGGTTGCTGCGCGCAGAAAACGCAGCGCGCGGGAAAGGGGGGCCGTGGGGTGGGGGTAGGGTGGGGGGGCAGAATCTGGGGACCCTGGCCCCGCCCCCTCCCGGGCGAGGCCCAATGGGGCGGCGGGCGCCGCAGCCCCGCCCCGGCGGTGTCCAGGAGGCCGGGGGCCGGGCCGGGCCAGGCAGCCGGGGTGAGCGGCGCGCAGGGATCTGGGCCGCGCGGGATGGCGGGTTATCTGCGGGTCGCACGCTCGCTATGCAGAGCCCCGGGCTGCGGCCAGGCCTGGGCGCCGGCGGCCCTGACCACCCCCAGCTTGCAAGAGCAGCCGCGGCGCCACTGTGAGTGCCACACGGAGGGGACGGGCGGGCGCGCGCCCCGCGCCGCGACGTGGCGACTTCCTAGGCTGGGGACCAGGGAGCGCGACCCGCCACGCCGGCGGCCCGGGAGCGGCGGGATCCCGCACACAAAAGGGCTTTGCCTGGCTCCGCGCTCCACCGCCTGGTTTCCGGGCCACGCCAGGCACAAGGGTGGGGACTTGAAGGACGGTGGCAGTTGGTGGCCCAGGCGATCACTGGTTCCTGCAAGGGTTGAACTTGGGGCTGCTCTGCGCCCCCAGGTATTCCGGGAGGGGCTCCTGGGGTTGTCTCGGACCCTGGATGACCTGTCCACGTGCGCCCCTGGAGGGAGGCAAGCCACCTAGCGGGACCCGAGCGGCGCCCCCGGCGAGAGGGAGGGTCGCGGCGCGGCCCCAGCTCAGACAAAGGCGGGGAGGGGACGCAGCCACTTCCCCTTCCTTTCGCCCGGGCGCGCTCGGATCCGTGCTCGGCACCAGGCCCACGTCAGCTATTTTTGGAGCCTTTAGCGGGCAGCTGGAGGAGTGTCCTTTCCAGTCTCCCCTTTTGTTTAGCTGCCACTCCCCCAACCCCTTCGCCTTCGTCGCTGCGCTTGAGGCTCCATTCTGGGCCCTCTGCTTGCCTTGCCTTTTCTTTCTTCTCTTTCCTTTGCTCTTGTGGGGCTGGGGCTGGGGCTGGGGATGGGGATGGGGATGGGTCCAGGGCCGTGCGCAGCCCGGCTGGCGCTCAGCCACTGAGCCGCATCTCCAGCCCGCTTGCTTAGCTGGTCCTGCCTGGCTCACTGGCTGAGGAGACCATGCAAAATGTCACTTTCTCCAATCGCTCCCGCAGCCTCTGGGGAGTACATTTAGCTCCCTGCTTGGGACAGGAGATGTAGTTCAAGTCCTAATAAGCGGGCGTTAGCCTGAACCTCCATTACTAACGCAGGCTGCCAGGCCTGCCATAGAGGCCTTGGCCCTACCCTCCCTCTGGCCACACAAGGCCCTGCTAGAAAGGCAGGGAACAATGTTAAGTCTCTTTTCTGATGCCTGTTGTCAGGGAAACTTCTATCCTGACCTGGCCCAAAGACCCTTGCGGTTAGCCAGGAGAGTGAGCAGGAGGGGGTGGGGGCCCTGGCTTGGCCTGGCAAGGGTAGGTAATCTTTAACTGAGTGTGGAAGCAGCTGACCAGAGCTGGGGCCAGGAGGAGGGAAAGGGCCTGGCTCCCAGCCCCCACCCTCCCATGCCAAGGAGAAAGGGACATTTCTGCTTTTGTACTTCAGGATCTGTCTAGATCCTGTAGAAAGGGTCAGCCTTGAAACTCCAAGGTTTCAAGTACTCCATCCTCTTTTTTTGGTGGCACTAGGGTTTTGAACTCAGGGCCTCACACTTGCTAGGCAGGTGTTCTTACTGCTTGAGTCACTCCTCCAGCTCAAGTGCTCCAGACCCCAGAGATGCCACCTTCAGCAAAATATGGGAGAAGTTATGATGGAAAAGAGAAACAACAGAAAGCACAGAAAAGCACACTAACAAAGAAAACGCAGCTCTTTTGGGGACCTGAATTTGGATATATGTGAAAGAGCAGTCAGTTGCAGGCCCTTCCAGAAGTCCCTGGATGGGGCAGTTATTGTGGGGCCAGAGGTTTGATTTGGTCATCAGACTGCACTCTGCATGCAGCTGGTTACTTGGCAACACGCTGCAGACAGAATACTCGGCGTTCCCCTTGAAGGCAAGAGGTGAGGATTTTTTGGCTATAATAGTCCTGTGACTGCTGCCTGCTGGGTAATTCCACATGTCTCTTTCGGACTCTGCAGCCTCCAGCGACTGCTGCTGGTGGTTTTGATGTTAGAACTCCAGGAAGTGAGGGGTGTGCTCTCTGAGCCGGAAGTGAGGGTGGGCTGGTGAACACTCCAGGGCAGAATTTCTTACCTAGCCTTTCTTCATTCCATTGTTCACCAGAAACTTCTTCATTTCCTGATCTTGCCCCTTCACTCTCACATTTTCTTGGTGGCTAGCCTGCCTCTTAGATTCCAGGACAAATTATTTCAGAATTGTTCGTCGAGTTTTGTAGACCCACAAATAGAGTTCTCTCACTTTCTCTCTCTCTTTTTTTTGATGGGTCTGGGGTTTGAACTCGGCTTCACACTTGAAAAACAGGCCCTCTACCACTTGAGCCACACCTCCAGTCTATTTTGCTCTGGTTATTTTGGAGATGGGGTCTTGAGAACTATTTGCCTGAGCTGGCTTCGAACCTCTGTCCTCCTGATCTCTGCCTCCTGAGTAGCTAGGATTACAGGCGTGAGCCACTGGCGCCCATCTTCTCAGCCCTTTTTTAACTTTATTTTAAGACAGGGTGTCATATTGTTGCTCAGGCTGGTCTTAAATGTGTGACCCTCTTGCCTCAGTCTCCACTGTAGCTGAGATTACAGACGTGTACCACTATTCCTGGATGTCATTTTTTCCCTGGTGTTGGATCCACCCAGGGCTTCACACATCCTGCGTAAACACTCTGCCAGTGAGCCACAACGCCAGCCCAGACTGCAGCTATTTAACCCAGCCTTGGTGGTGAGCTTCTCTGGGTCAGGGAGCCCATTGCCTGGCAGAGCCACCATGTGCCTGCGGTGCATTCTGCTGGCCAAAACTCCTTGGTCCCTGTGTCAATAGCCCCAGGAGCGAGGGAGGGGATCGAGCACATTCAGTCGGCAAGTTCAATGAAAAAAGGAGGTGAGGGTAGGGCAGCCCTGGCCTTGACTTTCAACTATGCCTTTCGCAAATACTGTGTTGCCTTTTTGCTCCAGCTACCATTCTAATATGGGAGGCAGGTGTGTGGTGCACCTGTAATCCTAGTTGTTCCGGCTATTCTCTGGTGTGTGTGTGTGTGTAGGAGCTCGAGTTTGAGGTCAGTGGGGACAAAACATTAGTGAGACCCTATCTCATAAACAAAATGCAAACAAAAGTGCTGGAGACATGGCTGAAGTGGGAAAGCCCTTGCCTAGCATGTATAAGGCTCTGGGTTCAATCCTCAGTGGTGAGGTGAGGGAGTGGAAGGGTATGTGGGAAGGGACAGAGAGTAAACAAGACAGAAGTTGACAAGTGATATATGGTCACAAGAGTTAGGAAAAGAGTCCGGCACCAGTGGCTCACACTTACTTGGGAGGCTGAGATTGGGAGGATTGCAATTTGAGGCCAGGCAAATAGACCATCTCCAAAATAACCGAAGTAAAATGGACTGGAGTTGTGGCTCAAGTGGTAGAGCACCTGCTTTGCAAGTGTGAAGCCCTGAGTTCAAACCCCAGTCCACCAAAGGAAAAAAAAAAAAAGGTTAGGGGAAGAGATGAAGAACTGGGGGTGCGGCTCAACTGTGGGAGCAGCTGCCTGGTAAACAAGGAAAGGGTGTGGGTGAAAGTTGGCCAAGGCAGCCAGGAAGGACCTCAGTGACTGAGCCCTAAGAGGGGAGGGTGGGCGGCCCCTTAGGGATCTGCAGGTGCCCTGGCCATGGTGGAGTCACAGAGAGGAGGAGGCTGAGCCTGTGTGCATTGTGGTGACAGATAAGTCTGGCAGTGGGAGTCACTATTTTCCCCCCTAGTGCCAGGGATCTAACCAAGGGTCTTGCACATGCTGGGCGCGTACTCTGCGGCTGGCTCCCAGGCCACTATTGAGGACTTGGGCCTTTATTCTGTCTGCAAAAGGAGGCTTTGCAGGGTTTGGGGAGGAACATTTTAGCAGAAGCATCCAGGCTTCCGGGGCCTGGCCAGAGGCCACCGGCAGGCTGGGGCATGAGAAGGTAATTTCTTGGGCCAGGTGGTGGCTTCTGGGTGCGTTTTGAAGGGAGAGCCAGTTGGGTTTGTGGATGCTCTGTCTGGAAGTGGGGGTGAGGAAAGGGGCAAGTCTCCACATTCTGATTCCTTGCTGGGACTTGCACCCTCTCAGTAGGAGGTACCGAGAAGGAATGTGGGAAAAGCAGTTCTGCTGCCATCTGGGGAGCAGTAAACAAGCACATCCCACAGCCAGGGACCACTTTGATATTTGGTGGCACTGGGTTTGAACTCAGGGCCTTGTGTTTCTAAATAGGCACTGTACCACGCCAGTCCCCAGGGGCTTCACTCCTCAGGGAATGTTGGGTGCCAGGAGTCTCAAATAGAGGAGAGCTGCTCACTGGCCTCTTGTAACTGCTGTCATTCTGTCCTGCACTCTTGCCAAGAAGACGGTGTCTGTGTGGCACGTCACTCATGTGGAAATTCGAGGTGGCTGTCACTTGGAGGTTTTGAGGGAGGCCTCAGGGCTTCTCTTTGGGTTTTGGATTGCTGTCATTGCTTGACTCCTTGAGCGGGGTGGAGCATGGCGGTGTGTGCACCATATGGGCCAAACAGGTCTCAAACTCCCATGACCTGGACGCCTGAGGGTGCAGGGCAGGCTGGGAGCAAAGGAAGGCACCCCTCAGCCCAGCCCATCCTTGTCTCAGTGTGGGGTGGCGGCCACTTATTCTTCAAGACAGGCTGTGCGATCTAGAGTTAGATTTTTTTTTTTGGAGGTAGGGTCTCACTAGTAACCCAGGCTGGCCTCAAACTTTCTATGTAGCCCAGGCTGGACTAGAACCCATGATCTGCCTGCCTCAGTCTCTAAAATGCTAGGATTACAACATGCCCTGCTTCTTAGATCTAGATTGTAAAATTTCCTGATTTTTTTTTGGGGGGGGGGAGGACTGGTTTTAAAATCTTATTATTATTTGTGGTACCAGGATTTAAACTCAGGGCCTGCACTTTGAGCCACTCCACCAGAGCTTTTTGAAATGGGTGTTTGCAAGATAGGGTCTCTCGAACTATTTGCTGGGGTTGGCTTGGAACCACTATCCTCCTGATCTCTGCCTCCTGAGTAGCTGGGATTACAGGTGTGAGCCATGGCACCCAGCAGGATCTTATTTTTATTTTTAGTAAAAGACATAATATGATATTGACCTCCTTGACTTTTTTCTTCTTCTTCTTCTTTTTTTGGTGGGACTGGGTTTTGAACTCAAAGCGGCACGCTTGCCAGGCACGCCCCCAGTCCCCAACCTTAACTCTTTTTAAGTGTACAGTTGACTAACGTCGACCCTGGTGCCTTGTGTCACCTACCTCTACAACTTTTCATCTTGCAGCACTGAAACTCCATATCCATTAAGCAGTAACCCACTTCCTCCTCACCCCTCCTTCCCCAGCCCCTGGCAACTGAGGCTCTGCTTTCTGTGTCTGTGCATTTGACTCCTCTGGGAAGCTTACGTACATGGAATTGTATAACGTTTGTCTTTGGGACTGGCTTGTTTCACTTAACTTAACATTCCCAAGGTTCGCCTGTGTTGCAGCAAGAATTTCTTTCCTTTTTTTTTTGAATCTGAATAATATTGCATTGTATGTGTAGGTCACATTTTTTCTTTTCCACTGAGGGACATGAGGTAGTTTCCACCTTCTGGCTATTGTGAATAATGCTGCAATGACGTGGGTGTGCAAAGATCTCTTCTGGTCCCTGCTTTCAATTTTTTTTTCTTTTTCTGGTGGTGGTGGGGTGAACCCAGGGCCTTGTCGCATGTAAGGCAAGCATTTCATGCCCAGCTATATGCCCAGTTTTCAGTTCTTTTGGATGTGTGTCCAGAAGTGTAATTTCTGGGCCATAGAGTAATTCTATTATTAGCAACTTTCAGACTGTTCTTCCCAGAAGCTATACCATTTTAACTTCTTATCAACAGTGCACAAAGCTGGGTATGGTGGTGTACACCTATAATCCCAGTACTCAGGAGGCTGAAGCAGAAGGACCAAGAGTTCCAGGCCAGTTTGGGCTACGTGGCAAGCCCCCATCTCAAATAGACAAAGAACAGTGCACAAATGTGTCAGTTTCCCCACAGCCTCACCAGCACTTGCTATTTTCTGTTTTTTCATTTTTTGATAGTTCTCTCAATGGGTGTGAGTGGTTTTTTGTGTCGTGGGGGTTTGAACTCAGGGACTCAGGGCCTACACCTTGAGTCACTCCACCAGCCCTTTTTTGTGATGAGCTTTTCTGAGATAGGGCTCATGGACTTTTTGCCTGGCTGACTTTGGACTGCCATCCTTTTGATCTCTGCCTCCTGAGTAGCTAGGATTGCAGGCATGGGCCACCACACCCAGCTTTGCTGTTTATTGGGTTACTTTGTGTGTAACTGCAGTTTGAACTCAGGGCTTTGTGCCTACAAAGCAGGCACTCTGCCACTTGAGCCACACCTCCATTCCTGTTATTACAATCTCATGATGTTTTAAGCCTTGGTTGGTCACCACAGAACACTTTTTTTTGCAGTGCTGGGGTTTGAACTCAGGGCCTACACCTTGAACCACTCCACCAGCCCTATTTTTGTGTTGGAATTTTTGAGATAGGGTCTCATGAACTATTTTCCTGGGCTGGCCTCAAAACCTAATCCTCCTGATCTCAGCCTCCCAAGTAGCTAGGATTACAGGTGTGAGCCACTGGCTCCCCTGGCATCACAGAACATTTCAGAAGTCTAATACCTGGCTGGGAGTAGAGTGCTGGCCTAGTGCGAGGACCCGAATTGAACCTAGCTCAGTGGTAGAGGGCTTGGCTGGCATTTGTGAGGCCCTGTGTTCATTCTCCAGGCCAGGGACAAAAATCTATTACTTGAGGCCAGCAAAAGATGTTTGCTGGCTTGGGCTCTCAAGTGTCACCAGCTCCTCTGGGAACTGTGCTTTCAGGGAGGCCTGGGACCCCTGACTACCAACTGCACTGCTCTCTGCCTGTCGCTTTCCCTCACCCGTGGGGTTTTTACTCCTTCCTCACTTTCATCCCGCAGCCTCGCACCGTGGTTTAGGTTTGAAGAGGTGGAAGAGGTGCGTAAGCTAGCCCTGGTGGCCCAGTGAATAACTTGACCCTGGACCAAGGGGGCTGGACAGCATGCACACACGGTATAACCTTGACCTTGAACTCCCCCCCAGAGGAGGTGTGGCAGCCACAGTTTACAGTGCCTGCCTGGGAAGCCCAGCGCAGTGCAGCCCAGGCGGACCCTGAGGCCTTCGGAACTGGCTTCTAGCTCGCTCCTCGGGTTAGGGTTCTGGATTGTGACATTGGCTCACGGTTTTAAAAGTTTGACTAGCTGTTCTTAAATTAACTTACAGGAGATGGTCCTGGCAACTAAGCCGGTTCTACAGCGCCCAGCCGATGTCGTGCGGGTCCCAGGGCCCTTCCCTCCCAGGCTTCAGAACACAGGATGAATTTTGTCACTGCATCTTGGGAAGGGTGGGGGAACCCGTGGATCGATCCGCCTTGTTCCCTGGGGAACAAACTGTTTTGTGTCTGTTTTGCTTTCTGCTTCTCTCTATCTGACCCACAAGGAGAGGCTGCACTTGAGCCAGACGCCTGGGTTCTGTCTTGCCTCTGACTCAGGCCATACTCCTTTTTCTACTTAATGACCCCTAAGATGCTTTTGAGATTGAATTTTTTTTGTTTGTTTGTTTGCATGTCGTGGGAAGTGAGTTGCTTTGCTGCGTGTCATGGAAAGTTGGCTTAGCAGTTCAGGTGTGCTGTCGTCATGCTCAGGTATGGGTGGTAAGATATGTTTGAGGCTTGTTAGGGTTTGGTCACTGTTGCCAATGTGCCTAGGTGGCCATACTTTTTTAGGGGTTTTTGGGGGTTTGTTGCTGTTTGGTGGTACTGGGGTTTGAACTCAGAGCCTTGCACTTGCTAGGCAGGTACTCTACCACTTGAGCTGTGCCCCCAGACCTTTTTGCGTTAGTTATTTTTCGAATAGGGCCATGGGTTTATGCCCAGGTCTGTCTGGAAACAATCCTCCTACTTATACATGCCCAGTTTATTAGTTGAGATGGGGTGTCTCAAGATCTTTTTGCCTGGGCTGGCCTAGAACCTCCATCCTCCTGATCTCCGCCTCCAGAATTACTGGTGTGAGCCACCATCCCTGGTCTTTATACTTTTTTGATTTTTAATTTCTTTTTTCAGTGCTAGGGATCGAGCCTAGGTCCTCACAAATATTAGACAAGTGTTCTGCCATTAGCCCCTTCCTCAGCCCTAGGCCTGCGTTTTGCAGGCTCTGTCTTACTGTCAGTGAGCAGTTGTCACTTCTGACTTCATGTTTTCAAGTGATCATCTTCCCTTGGTGTGGTTTGCTGTGTGTGATCTCTGTGGAGGTGGGAGGACTCATTGCCACCTGGAAACACTGTGACATGAGAGGAAGTAGGCACTAAGCGAGCCCCAGGAGTGCTCCTTCAGGCACAGGCACCATTCTCAGTCATGCTGTTCCTGTCTGGGTGTCACAGCGGGTGAGATTTCCCGATGTCTGAAGTTTTCTGTTACCTAACCCTGCAGTCGCTTTGCTGTGTCTTCCCAGGCTATGGACAGAGGAACCGCAGGCACCCTGGCTGCTGCAGGTTGGGGTTCACCGTGCTGGTTAATTCGCTGGAACATTTCCTGAGCTTTCACTGGAGTCCCCTTCCCACACTCTTGGTTTTTCCCTTGAGTCAGGCTTTGCTTGGAGAACCTTCCATCTCCTGTTTCCCTGACACTCCCTCTCAGGACTCATCACCAGCCACCTTTGAGTCTTAAGGTCTCTGGGAGGGCCAACTCACCTGAGGTGGCTTGGGTCAGGGACTCTGATCCCATTCATAGGGGCCATACACCTGTCCTTCCCACTGTCCTTGCTCAGTGCTGCTGTCTCCCAGCTCTGTAAACTTGGGCAGTCACCTCTCTGGGCCTCAGTTTCCCCATATCTAAAATGGACCAGGTACTGTGACATGCTTATAATCCTAGCCCTCTGGAGGGTGAAGCAGGAGGAGGTTGAATTTGAGGCTAGTTTTCGACCTTGTCTCAAAAAGGAAAAAAAAAAAAAAAATTCCAGCTGGGCACCGGTGGCTCACACCTGTAATCCTACTCAGGAGGCAGCGATCAGGAGGATTGTGGTTCAAAGCCAGCCCTGGACAAATAGTTCACCAGACCCTGTCTGGAAAAAAACCCATCACACACACACAAAAGGAAACTGATACAATGGAGCCCCCATGTAAAGGTGGGCAGTGTGTGTAAGTATGTATCTCGTCATGTATCTGTGCACGCGTTGATACTGTTTCTTTTTCCTTTTTTTTTTTTTTTTTCCGGTGCTGGGGACCGAACTCAGGGCCTTACACTTGGATACTGTTTCTTCTCCTCACTTCAAGTTAGCTAGGGGCCCAGGATGCAAGCAACAGAGGAACCTCAAGCCTGGCGAACTTGAGAGGATTTTATTGAAAGGACCCAGGGTCGCTCACAGAAATACAGGGACAACTATGGAGACTGCCACTCTAAGGCCCTTGTGGTAGTGAGGGGGCAGGAGCTCCTGGCCTGCCTTTTCCTGATCTGATTCTGGTCAAGGTGACCACAGCTGGCTGTCATTCTTTATTGGTGTCCTCTGCCTTCAGATTCCAGGGTAACAGGATCTGACTGGCCAGGCTGGCCCCAGCCCCTTGAGCAAGCTAAGGTGGCATCTCTCCAGCCGTACTCAGTGGGGAATCTGGGAGCATGCAGGTAGCTGTTTCTGCAGAAGAGGGAATGAACACTGGGCCATCAGAGCCCTGGCTGCTCACCACTCCCTCTTTGGTGAAGGATGGGCCTGGTCAGGAGAAGAGGGGCTTCCCACCCATCCCCCCAGGGGCGTGACATGCCATGTATGCCCATTCCAGATGCCGACAAGAGGATCAAAGTGGCGAAGCCGGTGGTGGAGATGGACGGTGATGAGATGACCCGGATCATCTGGCAGTTCATCAAGGAGAAGGTGTGCCCTTTCCCTATGTGGTGTTTCCCTTCCAGCAGGTGCTTAGTCCCATGGGGTCTCAGGTCCCCAGGACTCACCTGTGCCCTGGTGGACAGTAGTCCTGTTTCTTACCTCTGGCCACCCTTCTTTCGCGTGTGGAGCTAATGGTTCTCAGCTGTTGGGCAGTGTGTGTCCTGGGCGGGCCATGTCTCTTGTTGGGACCAAGCCTGCATGGCTTTCAAACCGGTTTCTTTTATTTTTGAGGTGGGGGCTCTGGCTGTGTAGACCAGGCTGCTCTCCAGCTCCTGGATTCAAGTGCTCCTCCTGCTTCGGCCTCAGTAGCTGGGACTACAGGTACACACTACTGTGCCTGGCCTTTTTTTCTTTTTGAACTCCAGTCTCATGCTTGCTGGGCAGGTGCTCTACCCTTTGAGCCACACCCCCAGCCCCCTGACTCATTTTTCAAACTCTGAACGGCTTCGTAACCAATCCATGTTATATCCATCTTGATCCCTCACGAGGAGGGACAGGACTGTGTGCAAGGCAGCCACCCAGCCTACAGCCGTGGTGAGCCACCATGGTAGATGGTTCCAGGAAGGCTGCTTGGCTTCTCCAAGTTGGTGTGGTGCGTCCTGGAAAGTGTCCTGCTGCATGAAGTCCCCTTCCCCATCTGTGTTTTTGCTCACAGGAGAAAGGTTGAGACTGCCACTTTTGTTTGCTTGAGTCAGGATCTTGCTATCTAGTCCAGGCTGGCTGACCGTCCTGGACTCAGCTCTCAGAGAGTGCTGGGATTATAGGCATGTACCACTGTGCTCGGTTGCTGAAATTTTGATAGGCTGGAGCTGGAGTGCGGCTGACCTACCAAGCCTCAGTGTGGATGGATGGTCCTCGCCATAGGAAACTCTTAGAAGGCCCATCTGGTCTGCTTAGCTCTCTCCAGGGCCCTGGCCTCCTACCAGCTCTGGCCAGGTCCCGCTGAGGAATGGCTGACCCCATCCCTCTCCTGTGTCCCTTCCATGGACTTTTCTCATCCTTGTCCTGACTGGGTATCCCTGACACAGCCCAAATGTCTCTGTGTTCCCCTGGCATCCTGCCCTGGGGATGATGCTTTTTTTTTTCGGTATTGGAGTTTGAATTCAGGGCCTACACCTTGAGCCACTCCACCAGCCCTTTTTTTGTGAGGGGTTTTTTCAAGATAGGGTCTCTCAAACTATTTGCCTGGGCTGGCTTTGAACCTAAATCCTTCTGATCTCTGCCTCCTGAATAGCTAGGATTATAGGCGTGAGCCACCAGCACCTGGCTGGGACTGACGCTTTGGTTGGTCTTCTTCCCCAGCTCATCCTGCCCCATGTGGATGTCCAGCTCAAGTATTTTGACCTCGGGCTTCCACACCGTGACCAGACCAATGACCAGGTCACCATTGACTCTGCGTTGGCCACTCAGAAGTACAGTGTGGCTGTCAAGTGTGCCACCATCACCCCCGATGAGGCCCGCGTGGAAGGTGCGAGGGTGGCAGGGGTGGGCTGAGGAGGATCTCAGTCTCTCCCTGCCAGACCATGCGATTGGGTGGGGGCAGCTGGCTGTGTGGGACTGGGATCTGGGTTTTCCTGAAGGCAGCATCTTTTGGGGTCTGGGGTGGGTTGGTGGGGATGAGGTGACCCTGGTTTCCCTGGGAGGGGCTGCTAGACAGTGGGACCTGGAGGTCACTGTAGATGCCGTGTGGTTAAGGGGCTGGCCGCAAGCTGGTGGTTAAGCGTAACTAAGCAGAGACCTGGCCCCACTACTTCTAGCACCCAGATAGATGCTGCTCCTGCTGTGCTCTGTGGCTCTGCCCAGTGGTGGCTGTGCCAGTCACAGGGAGGAGGAGGATGACAGGCTTTGGTCAGACTGCACTTCAGACCTCCTGGCCTGTTTTGCAGATCACTGTAGAGAGAGGCTGTAGTTGGAGTGCTGTGTGTCAGGAGCCTCAGAGGCCTCTGGGGACCATGGTGAGGACCCTCCTGCCACTGTCTGGTATTGCAGGGCTGCCCGAGCCCTGGGGGTCAGGCACAGATCCCTGAGCAGTGTCCCCATGCCTGGACTGGCTGCTGGTCCTTCGTTCTGGAGGCCTCTCTTGAGAGTTCTATGAAATGACACCAGAGTACAGAGAAAGGGACCAGGTTTGGATAATTCCAAAAAAGACAGATTAGAAGTTTTCTGAATTCTCCTCCCTAATTCCTGCAGTATGAGGGGGCAGAAGGAAACACTCAAGACATATCTGCAGGCTGGGGGTGTAGCTCAGAGCTAGAGCACTGCCCAGCATGCACAAAGCTCTGGGTTCGATCCCCAGCACCACAAACAAACAGCAAAACCCTCCAGGCCACCTTCTGTCCTCTGCAGAGTCCTGAGTTTTCTTTGACTTCCCTGAATCCTGGGATTTATTTATTATGATGCTGATTTTTTTTTTTTAATTGGTGCTGAGGATCGAACTCAAGGCCTTGTGTATGCCAGGCAAGTGCTCTGCCACCAAGTTACCACCCCAGGATGTATAGATTCCCTTCTGTAGGACAAGGAAGTGGAGGGTCAAAGTCTGAAGTGCCTGGCTAGGACTGGGCCAGCACCAGGGCTTCTGAGGGTGGGGTGGTTCATCAGACACCCCTTTCCCTTGAACTGAGCGACCTCGTATGGGACGTGGTAATGGTGGTGGTCAGAGCCCTTGCCAACAGATCGGGTACTGTTCCAGACACTGTACACCCCAGCTCTTTTAATTGTCATAACAACCAGGCAGGCTCAGAATTTTGTCAGTGGCTCCCACAGCCCAGGCTTGTGTAAGCCTCACAGTTAGAACAGGCAGATTTCCAGAAGCCGTTCGTCTCCACGTGGGACTCTAACTGTGTGCCCCATGATGGCGTCTGTTGGTCTGTGTTGTTGCTTGAGGTTCCTTTTGGTTGGGAGGCCAGGCTGCAGCAGGCCCACGTCATCTCTGTCCTCAGAGTTCAAGTTGAAGAAGATGTGGAAGAGTCCCAACGGAACCATCCGGAACATTCTTGGGGGGACTGTTTTCCGAGAGCCCATCATCTGTAAAAACATCCCCCGCCTTGTCCCCGGCTGGACCAAGCCCATCACAATTGGCAGGCATGCCCATGGCGACCAGGTAGGCCAGGCTGGGAGACAGGGTCTACAGACCTGGGTTCCCCACGGGAGCCCTTAGCCTGACCTTCCTTCCTCTGTGCAGTACAGGGCCACAGACTTCGTGGTGGACCGGGCTGGCACATTCAAGATGGTCTTCACCCCGAAGGATGGCAGGGGTGCCACAGAGTGGGAGGTGTACAACTTCCCTGCGGGCGGCGTGGGGATGGGCATGTACAACACCGATGAGGTGAGGCCCCTGCAGCACCTCCTCCCCTTCTGTCTGGTGACTTTCCTTTCTTCCGTGTTGGCCTCATAGCCTCTGCCCACCTGGCTGGCTGGCTACCTTATCAGAAAAGAGCACGTCCTTGCGCCTGGTTCCAGCCGGAGGTCCATGCTTGGGTCGCATGACCATCTCTGAGCCAGTCACTGAGGCCTGGGGAGGAAAGAACTAGGGGCATTTGCTCCTACCCAAGCCTAAGCATTGGCTTCCCACAGCAAAGCTGGGGGGTCGTTTGTTCCCACAAGGTTGGGGGGAGGTAATGGGCCAAAGCCACAGACACCCCCTCCATGGTGGCCGTGTGGAAGGTGGAGGTGCCCGTGTTCCTGGAGAGCTGGGCCTGGCCTGGGCACTGGGGAGGGCTGCCAGTCCTAGGCAGGGGGACCATGCCAGGTCCTCTTTCTGTCCACAGTCCATCTCGGGCTTCGCGCACAGCTGCTTCCAGTACGCCATCCGAAAGAAGTGGCCCTTGTACATGAGCACAAAGAACACCATCATGAAAGCCTATGACGGGCGCTTCAAGGACATCTTCCAGGAGATCTTTGACAAGTAACGGCCTCCTTTGCTGCTTCCTGAAGACTCCAGAGCCCCACCCCCCCCGTGCTCCCCGCCCTTGCCGTCCCCATCCTACCTGAGGAGGTCACTGTCCCTCTGCATTTGGCTTAGTTAGCTCTGAGGCTCGGGGAGGGGTCCCCAACCTGCCAGCCTCCTGTCCTCTCCCCACAACAGGCCCTTTTGCTCCCAGGCACTATAAGACTGACTTTGACAAGAATAAGATCTGGTACGAGCACCGGCTCATCGATGACATGGTGGCACAGGTGCTCAAGTCTTCAGGTGGCTTTGTGTGGGCTTGCAAGAACTACGATGGAGATGTACAGTCAGACATCCTGGCCCAGGGTATGCTGCCCCTGTCTTTCTTCTGTTGGCCTTGTCTGGATGGAGGGATTTTTGCACCTTTTGGGGAGAAATCTCTAGTGTGGCCAAGAGGGTCATTACAGGTTCCCGCGTGGACAGCAGGGGGCTGAGCCCCTGGGCACCTCCGTGAGGGAGGCCCACAGACATGGTTTGGACTGGTGTGTACTAAGACTCCTCACAGAAATGAGCACAGGAATTCAAGGGACCAGGTTGGGTCATCAGCACTGAGATTGTTTCTGTCTGCGATGGGGCCACTGGGCTGCTCAGCAGCAGCTGGAAAATTGGATCAAGCATAAGTGGATGCACTTTTATTTTTACTTATTTAAACATTTTTTTCTCTCTCTCTCTCTTTTTTTTTTTGCAAAGTAGAGTACCTACTTTGCAAGTGTGAAGCCCTGAGTTCAAACTCCAATCCTACCAAAAAAAAAGAAAAAGAAAAGAAAAGAAAAGCCCCAGCAGGGATTGGTATAGCTATATGGTAAGAGCATGTGTCTTACCATGCAGGAGGTGAGACCCTGGGTCCAGTCTCCAGCACCAGCCAACCAACAAACAAAAGCCATGACTGGTGACAGAGGCATGAAAATGAATGTTAAGTACAGAAGGGATTGATGAGTGTGAAGGTCCAGGTGAAAATAGCAAAGGGACTCCTCCAGCAAAATTGGTATGGTGGTGCAGTTCAACCCTAGAGGTTGAAGCAGGAGAATTTTGAGTTCAAAGCCAGTCTGGGCTACATAGGGAGACAAAAACCAACAAAAGCAAAACAACAACAAAAAACCCCCACGGTCACAGCCCATACAACCAAGAAGGAAAATAACAACTACTATAAGAGAAACCATTTTCTTTTACAAGTTGACCACTTTTTCTTCTTGGATCTTCACAGTCCGTCCTTGTTTTGTTGCTGTGGAGTTTTTTTTTTTTTTTTTGTGGTACTGGGATTTGAACTCAGATCTTCATGCTATGCAAGTCAAGCGCTCTTCTGCTTAAGCCATAACCCCAGCTGTGCAGTTGCTTTTGAAACCCCAGAGTCCTTGATAACAGAACAAGTTGTTTTGAGTTGATGCATGAATCTGGGAAATTTCAGAAAAAATATGCGAAGCTTAAAAGTGACCTAAAAGCAGCAGCAGAACCACCACTGTGATACAGTGATGACAGCTGTATTTTTTTTCTTGAAATGGCCTCCTGGGGCTGCAGGACTCTGTGGGGTCTTAGACCCTGGGAGCCATGGACTCTGGGGTGCCTGTAGTGGGGACACAGATGTATGTTAGCTGCCCTCAGGGTCCTCTGTTCTCTGCTGGGTCCTGGACAGGCTCCATGCAGTCCCTGTCCTCCCAGCTCCAGTTGGGGTGGAAGTGAGGACTTGAGGTGAGAAGTAGCCAGAGCAGCAGGGGGAGGAAGGGGACAGGTGGGTTGACCCTGGGTGGCCTGGACTGAGGCATGGTAGTGAAAGGATGACCTTCCCGTCTGTCAGGCTTTGGCTCCCTTGGCCTGATGACTTCTGTGCTGGTGTGCCCGGATGGTAAGACCATTGAGGCAGAGGCTGCTCACGGGACGGTCACCCGACACTATCGTGAGCACCAAAAGGTGAGTACGGGACTTATGGCTGGGGTGGCTGGGAAGACAAGCCTGAGCCTTGATGTTTTTATTGTTTATTCATTTATTCATATGTGTGTACATTGTTTGGGCCACCTCTCCCCGCTGCTCCTGAAAGCCTGACCCCTCGGCCCTGAGGTGGGCGCCTACATTATCTGCTGATTCCCTGTGATCCCTGTCCCCAGGGCCGGCCTACCAGCACCAACCCGATAGCCAGTATCTTTGCCTGGACACGGGGCCTGGAGCACCGGGGAAAGCTAGATGGGAATGAGCACCTCATCAGGTGAGGGCAGGGGAGGGGCCAGCACTGGCCCTGGCTGGGGGTCCCACCCTGCACAGCTGGGGTCTCACCTGCGCTGCCCTCTGTAGGTTTGCACAGACCCTGGAGCAGGTGTGCGTGGAGACCGTGGAGAGTGGAGCGATGACCAAGGACCTGGCCGGCTGCATCCACGGCCTCAGCAAGTGCGTGGGCCTAGGCCAGGGCTGGCCTTCTGAGACCTCGGATCCAGGTGGGAGGAAACCAGGGGACCCTACCTAGAGTCAGGCATAGCTGCCAGGGGCCTGGAACAGGAAAAGTCCAGAGCCCCAAGAAATAATGGCTCAGGCTAAGCCTCCTGACCAGGTCTGGTGAGTTGGTCCCCACTGGCTGGCTGCTCAGTGTTTCTTCCCTGTGCCACCGGGAAGAAAAAGACAGACCTTCCTAGGTTCCCACTGAATTCACCATGGCCTTTTGGTAGTGGGTTGCAGGTGACCTTTGGCCTGAGCCTGGGTGGCATGGAAGGTCCCATTTGGGCCATGTCCTGGAAGGAAGGGCCTGGCCCGGCTGACGCCATCATGTCCTCTCTGCAGTGTGAAGCTGAACGAGCACTTCCTGAACACCACCGACTTCCTGGACACCATCAAGAGCAACCTGGACAGAGCTCTGGGCAGGCAGTAGGGGACACGTGTGGCCCACCTGCCATGGGCTCAGCCGAGGGCAGCCGGTCCTCCCACACGGTGGAGGGTGAGCCTCACAGCCCCTTTCCGGAGACCTTTCCAGGGGGCATTTTTTATAAGTGAGATGTTTTTAAAAGTACGTGTGCATTTCCCCTCTTGGCGACGTGAGGTCACAGAAGCGATGTTTTGCATATTGTAATTTATATTGCCTTTGGAACACATGGTGCCTCTTTAGCTACTAAAAAGCTCTACACAAAACTGTCTGCTGTGTGTGTCCCTGAGGGAAAGAAGGAAGGCAGCTAAGGTGCCTAGAGGCAGAGGCCCTCATAGAGGTGGCAGCTTTCGCTAGGGACAGGCCACAGTGCCTCAGGCCACAATAGGGCAGAGGGTGACCGTGGGGGAGAAGGGAACAGGAGTGGCCTGAATAGCTGCTGGGACTCTCATGGCAAGGCCTGGAACCCTATGACCTACCTAGCCTGTCCATCACATTCATCATTTCCTCAGAGTTTGGGTTATTATTTTTTTAAATTGATTTTTAACCTAAACACCACCACACCTCTTTATTTGCCCTTTTCTCTGTACTTAAAAAACAGGTCCTCAGGCTGGAGGTGTGGCTGCAGCAGTGGAATGCCAGCCTTGCAAGGGCAAAGCCCCGAGTTCAACCCAAATACTGCTGAAAAAAAAAGAAAAAGAAAAATCCAACCAAACAGGTCCAGGCTCGGGGTGCCCGTGTGTAAAGAGGGTCCGCTGTAGTCCAGGCCAGTGACTGTTCCCAGCCTTGGGTTCATTTCCATCACGCCTTGGCAAAACTAGAAAAGATGATAAAAGTTGCTTCCAAGATATCTTTTGGTTTAAAGCACCATTCGCTGTGCGGTGGTTGTATTTTGCTCTGTGCTGTTAAAATGGCCTGCTGAAGAGTCAAGTTATTTAAAGGTTTTGTTGTGCAGGGGATTGAGCCCAGGGCTTTGCACATCAGTCTGGTGCTCTACCACTGAGCCACATCCCCAGTGAGCTGAATCATCTCTACCTGATGAAATAGTCAGTCCTCCATATGCACAGGTTCTGCAGCCTAGATTCCCCCAACCTCAGATTGAATATATTTAGAAAAAGACAGGCATAGTGGTGCATGCCTGTAGTTACAGCACTCGGGAGTCTGAGGCAGGAGGATTGAGAGTTTGAGGCCATCCAGAACCTTAAATCGTGTCTGCACTGAACACATACAGGCTTCTTCTCTCCTGTCATAGTCCTAAGCAATATGGTACAACTCCTCAGACAGCACTTAAATTTGCTTAGATAAGTCATCTAGATCTGACTGAAAGTATTTGGGAGGTGTTGGGGGTGTGGCTGAAGGAGAGCACTGGCCCAGCCTGGGCAAGACCCTGGGTTCAACCCCCAGTACTGGATGCACGTAGGTTGTTGCTTAGGGAACTTGAGTGTCTTTGGGTTTTGGTAACCACAGGGTGTGGAGCAGCCACACAAAGTCCATTTCCAGAATGTCAGTGGGACTGTCACAGCTCCTGAAAGCCAACATTTGGGAAACACTGCTGTTGCTGCCTTGGTGGCTTTGGCACGGACCCCAGCGCTTACCCTCACTGGCAACTCCCCTTCTTCCCCAGACCCCTGGGGCTCCAGGAAGAAAAGCCGGCGTGCTGGCTGGCACTGGCGTCACAAGCCCAGCCTTGGCATTAGGACTGGCTTCTGTCCTGGAGCCCAGGAGGTGGGGAGGGAGGGGAAGCTGCTTGGCCCTGCAAAGTGGTGGGAATTCTGGGGCCTTGGCCTGCACTTGTCTCTTGGACTTGGAGCAGTGCAGGTGACCACTCCTGTGTAGAGGACAGTCCCAGCCCCGATGCTGGGGGCTCTGCAGGGTCAGGAAGCTTCGTGGAGACTTCCCTTGTGCGTAGGAGGGATCCCCACGAGCTGTGAAAAGAAGCGCTCGCAGTCGCCTCACTAAAGAATACTCATTTATTTATAATTATTGCTAAGTAAACTTCTCTTTTCAACAGGAACATAAAAAGCCAGTAGGGCTTTGCACAAGTGAGATCTCTAACAGTTGGTTTGTACACAGGTCAAAATAAGTTAGAATGGAATTCGTCCAGGAGTTCCGAGTTCCCCCCAAGAGGCCGGGCCTCTTCTGAGCAGGTTGGGGAGGGGTGAGGACAGGAGCCTCGTGGTCATCCCCAGCTCGAGCTGTGCGCTGTGCTGTCTGCCCTTCTTCACGTTGCCCAGGTACAAGGCACAGGGCAGGGGGCCGGAGCTGATGGCGGAGGAGAGCCCCGCCCGGGCCAGACTTCCCACTTCGTTCCAGAATCAAGGCCATTGCACTGGCAGGAGAGGGAAGGAGGAGGTACGGGGTTCTTTTTGGTACCAGGGGAGAAAGACGTTGTGGGAAGAGGTAGTTTACAGGGGTGAGGCCTTCTGCTCATAGAGAAAATGTCTTGTACAGTGACACCAGGGTCACTGCCACCTGAGGGTCATCATGGCGGGCACCTGGGAGGCTAGAACCTTGGGGGTCACCGTGTCCACCCCCCCAGTCGTGATCACAGTCACCCTGAGGCCTGGCTTGGTCCTTCACTTAGGGGTACAGCCTTGGGGACAGCTGCATTTCAAAATGGTTCTCCCTACCTGACTATCTTCCCCCTCCTGGATTCTTGGTGAAGCTGGTGGCTTCACCTGTCCCTCCCCACAGAGGCCTCAGGAGATGTGTGGCCGGGTGTCCAGGTGCCCTAGAATTCCTGAATGTGCTATTTCACTGCCCTGGGCACAGAGGGCAGGCGGGTGGCTGAGGGAGTCAGCAGCCCTGGCCATTTAGCAGGGCACAGAGCTGACACAGGCTGGACAGGACAGGTGGGCTGGTGGCCGCTGCTCACTGTCTCCTCTGCAGCCTTCCGAACTTCCTGGCCAGCGCCTCAGTCCCCGTGGAGCCTGGGGCCTACCTGGCCTGGCTGCTTGAGGTGGGCAGCCCAAGCACTACAGAAAGCTTAAATCTGGAAAAATAAACCATCAAAAAAGATGACAGGTGACACAGAATTAAAAAGAAAAAGAAATAATAAGTTACCTTCAAAATACCCCCATTTGCTAAAAAAAAAAAAAAAAAAAAAAAAAAAAGTTTTTTCCCTCTATGGTCTCCTTTTTTTCCTTTTTAACTGTGTTGCCCTTTCCTGGGGTCCTGCTGTCTCGGGTAACCCCATCCTCACTTAAGAAAAGACTTAGCTCTTTCTTCTTGCAGGTGGTCCTTGGCCTTCCTTGAGGACAGCCCCTCTGGGTCCACATCACCCTGCTCTGCCCCCGCAGGCCAGAGGGGCCTCCACCTGTTAGTGTGTGCCCGACACCAGGTGTGTCCTGCTTCTGTTTGATGGGGAACCATAGTGTGGTGCCCCACTCAAGACAGAACTGGGTGACATTTGTTGAAATCTACTTTAGGGAGGGTCACTTTCAAATAGGGCGATAGGGCAGAGGCCTTCTGGGGGCTGATGGGAGGGTGCTGGCTGGGGGCTGGGCTCCTCTGGCTTTCCCACAGGTCAGGGCCAAGGTAGGGCCGAATGCACACCTGGGTGGGGCACAGGCAGGCCCGGGAGGTAGAGGGCAGAGCGCCCTGCCTGGCTGTTCAGTGATGGGTGGGGAAGGGGCTCTTGGGGCTGGGCAGGGTGGGGAAGGGCAGTGCTGACCAGCACAGGAGCTCAGACATCCCTAGAGGGAGGAGTTGCTGGGCTCAAGTGATCTCTTCCTGTGGCATCAGGACCCTGAAGAGCACTGAGGGGTCTGGGGAGACCCTGCAGCCTGTGCCCAGGTGGCCCCGTCAGTGTGTCCCCTACCCACCCACAGCAGCAGGCCAAGGAGGCCAGACCTGGGCCTCCTGGCACCCCTTCCCTTGGTGGGACGAGGCCAGTAGTCTCCATTTGGTCTAAAGGTCCCAAGTGGTGCAAATGGCTTGGGACGGAGGGCTGGGGACAGTGGGGACAGTAGTTTGTTCCTGGGCAGCAGCCCCCCCATGCCCCGGCCCTCCGCCGCTCGGCCAGCTGATGCTATAGCACGTTATAATAGGCCATTTCCTTCATGGCCTGTTCGGTGAGGGCGCTGGCCTCGGAGCTGCCGTCCACACCAGCGTAGGTGTAGGCGTTTTCCTCAAAGTCCTCCATTTCCTGCTGGCTGTCAAGCTCAGAGGGATCGGGGCCCGCCAGCTCCATCATGGGGTCTGCGAGAGAGAAGGACAGTTAGGCCTGGACGCCACCCTGGCACAGAAGGAGCAGTCACCCCCCGCCCCCCGTGACGTGTGGCTTGTCTAATGAAAGGACTTCCGGTCATTGTCTCCCCACGATCACAGCCATCCCACCTGGGGACCCGCAAGGCCTGGCCCTGACTTCAGGGGGTCACGTGTCCATGGCCCTGCTGAGGCACCGAGCCACCCACAGTCGTTCTTTGCAGGGCTGGTTCACTGGTCCCCGTAGCTCACTTTATCACATCGCTGCATCACCACTTATTTAGCGCCTACTGCATACCAAGCATTTCACAGACTTCACAGTAAGTTCAGAGGTTAACCAGTTTGCCACAGGTCACTCAGCAAGTGTTCCTGCTCTGACCCTCATCTGCTCTGCCTGAAGTCACTGAAAGGAATGCTGTGTCCTCTGACCCCTGTCAGCATTAGTGCTTTAAACCGGTTCCACCCAGCCTGGCTCTCCGAGGACTGGTTAACAAAGCTATCTGTGAAGCCAGTGCTGAGCGGCCTCTTGCCGTTTTATCAAACTGAACTCTTACTGTAGAGCTCTGGCTGTAGGAACAGAAGCCAGACGGCTCTCCAGAGAGGGGTGCGGGGAGCATGGTTCACGTGGCAGAGCACCTGCCCAGTGAGCTACAGGGCCTGACTCCAACCTCCAGGGGAGGCTGGAGGCTCTGGGATGCTCTGGCAGGGCCTGGGACTCATCTCCTAAGTCCCTTCTGCCCCTGTCCACAGAGAAGATGCAATGTATTTGGGGCAAGTCCCAGGGGTTTTCCAGCCTTGGCACCATTAATGTCAACGGTCATAGTTCTTTGCTGTAAGGGCTGTCCTATGCTTTGCAGGGTGTCTGGCAGCATCTCTGGCTTCCACCCACTAGACACGAGGAGTATAACCACAGTTTTGACATCCAAATGTCACCTGGGGGGCAATTTCACCCTCACCCTTCCCACTAGTCTAAGGGGACTCCACCCCTCCAATGAGTGGGTGGGAAGTTAGCGTGTAAGTTTCTAGGATGTTGTCATAGAGTTCAAAGAGCTACGGGAAGCAGCCCTTCTTCGCTCTTTCACTCGATGTGAACAATGCAGCACACAGCCACTGGCAGCCATCTTGTGACTATGAGGAAAGTCACAGGTAACGCTGTGGATAGACTGAGGGAGCCTAACTCTGACGTCCTGGTGGAGAACGGGCTAGGCTTCGAGCTGTTTCTCCTTGCTTACACCAGTCTGACACACTAGGAGTCTTCCTCACCTTATAAAACACGGTCAACCATCCTGATTTACAGAGGCCCCTCCAGTTCAAAGCCACTCAAACTCCACTGTGCCTGACCCACCCGGGTCCCGTTAGGAGGGCACAGTCTGACTCAGCAGGTCCGGGGTGGGTTCAGTTCGAATTTCTCCAAGATCCCAGAGGAAGCAGGGCAAAGAGAATGTCTGACACCCCCACAGGGCTTTCTTCTCACCCACCAAAGCAGCCCCAAAAGACTATTAAGCAACAAAACAAAACACAACAGAATCACTGGGGACGTGGCTCAAGTGGTAGAGCACCTGCCTAGCAAGTGCAAGGCCCCGAGTTCAAATCCCAGTGCCACCAAAGCAAAAACAAAATCAGAGTCACCTGTTTCTGCCAGAAACTTTAGGCCATTCACTACGCAGCTGCTCCAAAAACAAGGTCAGGAATACCGTAGCCACTTCTGAATAACTTGGTCAAACCCGGGCGGCTCCCAGATGTACAAGGAGCCTTCATGACATGCTATGTTTTCAGCTTCCTCCATTCTACACTGAAGCTCTGTCCCCACACTGAGGCCAGAGACCAATGGTCACCTCTGCTGTGGCCAGACAAAAGTACATTACTACTGACCAGAGCTAAAGTGAGAAGCAAACAAACTTCTACCAGCTATCGTAATATAGATCCTCTCTGGAAATTTCTCCCAGATCTTAATGGTCCATCTGTCCATCTCCTGAGTACTGGGGTACCTTCTCTGGCAGGCATTCTGAGGAGTGTGACTGATTGTGTTACCCTTTTGCCTTGGCTGCTGGGAAGCTCTGCATTCCCTTCTGTATGTCCCATGGTGCACTTGGAACTGGGAGCACAGGGGCTCTCCCTGATCGTTCCAGTCGTCATTTCCCTCCTTTGTTACATTCTTTCCCAGCCATTTATTTTAAACATTATCTCACAGTAACAGAACGTTTATGGCCTCCTATGTGTTGTGATCTGCGATCTTTCATGAGTTACCAAAATAATTCCAGAGCCAGCCTCACTTTGAGGGTTACATGAGTTACACAGCACTCAATAAATGTAAGTTATTATTTTATTATTATAGTTTTTGTCAGCCCACTGAAGTCCTCGGAAGAAGACATAAATATCCCATCGTCATCACCAGGCTGTCCTGCCATGTTCCCCCGTCCTCCAGACCTGAGCCCACCCCAGTGAGGTCTCGGCCTTGGCCAGCCTCCCCACCCCCCTGACTGCACAGGTGTCCCCTGAGTGCGCCATGCTGCCATCACGCCTGCTCTGTCCACTGCGCACAGCCCACCCACCTTGGCTGTCTAAGCCGATGTCCATGACGCCGTGCTTGACCTTCATGTGCCGGCTCAGGTTGCCCTTGAGGTTGAACTTGCTGGAGCAGTAGGGACACTTGAAGGGCTTGCTGCCTGCGTGCAGGTGCATGTGGCCCAGCAGGTTGTACATGCGGTTAAAGGACTTCCCACACACCTGGAACACAGCAAGCGCTCAGCCCACAGGGGCCGCCCTCCCAACCTCCACTGAGCTGGAACCCCAGGGTCCACTGTCTTTCCTGTGTGAGCCCAGAGGCCGGAGGGGCAGAGAAGGGCTTTCTCTTGTCGGGCACCGGTGTGGCTCACGCCTGTAATCCTAGCTACTCAGGAGGCAGAGATCAGGAGGATCGAGGTTCAAAGCCAGCCTGGGCAAACAGTTTGAGAGCCCCTATCTCAAAAAACCCATTACAAAAAAGGGCTGGCGGAGTGGCTCAGGTGGTAGAATGCCTGTCTAACAGGTGTGAGGCCCTGAGTTCAAAAAGAAACCCAGGGCTCAGGTCCCCCTGCTTGGAGTCCCAGACGGGCCCCTTCTGTGGCTATCCCCAGCTCTCTAGAAACACAAGGTCAGCAGCTTCTAGGATTTGGACCCCCCAGGCCCACCACCCCGCTGAGCTCAAGCAAGGCTGTGTGTGGGTCCCAGCTGTCACAGTCAAGCTGGTCATACCTTGCACTTGAATGGCTTCACGGGCGAGTGTACAATCATGTGAGTCTTGAGAGTCTGCTTCTGCACGAAGGTCTTGAAGCAGATGTGGCACTGGTAGGGCCTGACGCTGGTGTGGATCAGCATATGACGCTTCATGTTGGCCTGCAGGGTGAACTCCCGGCCGCACACCTCACACTTGAACTCCTTCACGCCCTGTGGGGAGCCGAGGGAGTGGGGGTGACGGTCAGATGCAGCAGACACAGGCATAGCTGCTGGGAAATTGTTCCTTATACCCCTGGGAGAATGCAGGGCAGGGCCGCTTACTCCAGGAAGTCTTCCAGCAGAAACCTGAGGTCTCCTGCCTACCAGGATAGGTGTGCATATAGGTACCAGTACCTGGAGTCAGATGTGTGTTTGTCATCCACCATCCACCCATCCATCCACCCATCTATTCATCTACACACCCATCCATCCACTCACCCACCCACCCATCCATCCATCTATCCATCTACCCACCCATCCATCCACTCACCCACTCACCCGTCCATCTATCCATCTACCCACCCATCCACCCACCCACCCATCCATCCATCTATCCATCTACCCACCCATCCACCCACCCACCCATCCATCCATCTATCCATCTACCCACCCATCCATCCATCCACTCATCCATCCATCCATCTATCCAGCTACCCACCCACCCATCCATCCACCCATCTATCCACGTACCCACCTATCCATCTAGTCATCCATCCACCCACCCATCCACCCACCCATCTATTCATCTACCCACCCATCCATCCACTCACCCACCCACCCATCCATCCATCTATCCATCTACCCACCCATCCATCCACTCACCCACTCACCCGTCCATCTATCCATCTACCCACCCATCCCCACCCACCCATCCATCCATCTATCCATCTACCCACCCATCCACCCACCCACCCATCCATCCATCTATCCATCTACCCACCCATCCACCCACCCACCCCCATCCATCCATCTATCCATCTACCCACCCATCCACCCACCCACCCATCCATCCATCTATCCAGCTACCCACCCACCCATCCATCCACCCATCTATCCACGTACCCACCTATCCATCCAATCATCCACCCACCCATCCACCCACCCATCCATCCATCCACCCACCCACCCATCCATCCATCTATCCATCCACCCACCCATCCATCCACCCACCCATCCATCCATCTACTCATCCACCCATCCATCCATCTATCCAGCTACCCACCCACCCATCCACTCATCCACCCATCTACCCACTCACCCATTCATCCATCCACTCACCACCCACCCATCCATCCATCCGTCCGTCCATCTATCCATCTACCCACCCATCCATCTACTTCACCAGGTCAAGGATGTGTGTTTTTCTCTTCAGCTGTCTGTAGGTAATCTTTTTGGCTCACAGACTCATTTGAGAATATAATTATTCTCTCTCCCTGAGAGGCTCTTCCAGGTTTCCTCATGGCCCAGAGCCACCTGGTACACCTCCCAGGAGAGTCTAATCCAGAGGGGCCCGGAATTTTTATTCTCAACAGGCTTTTTTCTTGGTGGGATTGGGGTTTGAACTCACAGCTTCACACTTGCAAAGCAGGTGCTCTACTGCTCAAGCCACACCTCCAGTCTATTTTACTGTGGTTGTTTGGAGATGGGGGCTCACGAACTATTTTCTTGGGCTGGCCTGGAACCACAATCTTTCTGATCTCAGCCTCCCAAGTAGCTAGGATTACAGGCGTGAGCCACCAGTGCCCGGCTTCCCAGGCGATTCTTATCACTGCTAGGTTTGTGCCACAGGAGATACAGGCTCCAGAGGACATGTCCGTTTTGAACTGACTGCTTCTCTGTGGTCCAGAGCTGACTCTGGAGCAGGACAGGGTGCTGTGTGCATGGGGCTGTGATCTATGCTTGTGATAATTTACGGGAACCCAATGGGACAGACGTGTCAGTGCTCACAGCTGTCCTGTGTGTCTGGTACAACATTCTGTATTCAGATTTTCTTTGGCGCTGGGAATTGAACCCAGGGCAGCTACTGTAATCTGTGGACCCTGTGTCTGATCTCAGCAGCCAAGCCGTGCTCCTGGTGTGCTCTGGAGAGGCTGCAGCTGTGCATGACCACCAGGGGGCCCTGCCGTTCAGGCCTTGCAAGCACAGATGTGTGCCTGGCACCAGTGTAGACCACTGAGGGGGATATTTTCAATTTGATTAGCCTTTGAGTTTTGCTTTCAGCTTTTCTTCACGGTGTTATTTATCTTTTAACACTCCGTGGACCTGTGGAGATTCTGAAGTCTCCCAGTAGAGGAGAAACAAAGCAACTGTAGCCTGGGTCCTGCCACCCTCCACCTCTCCCTGCAGGCATGAGCAATCCATCACTCCATTTCACTGCTGGGCCCAGATTCAGCCCTAGAATCCTGGTTACATTTTATGAAGCTGCTACCAACAGACCAGAGGCCCTGTAATGACACCTGCCACTCATCCCTGATCTAGCAGGGACCTTCTGGGGGCTGGAGGAGGCTGGGGTCGTGGCCTGGAAGGCTGTTGTTCCCCCGACTCACTGTAGAGATAAGGTCCCAAGTTTGAGCTGGATGTTGCTATCGAGTGGAAATCCTATGTTAAACTTGCTGTACTGTGGTGGAAACCACAGGTCAGCACGTGCCAGAGAGGGACCTGAGAGGCCTCAACTGACCTGCCTGGACGTGAGGGCCTCTTGGAGGCTGAAATGCAGGAAGAGGAGGGCCGGGAGATGGGTCAAGGATGGGTCAGGACAGGGCTGCTCCACCTCCTACCTTCACAAACTTCTTCACCTGGCTTAGCCATGTTCTAGAACCATTTGTACTTCTCCATAAAAAGTTTTGCTCTTATTTATCCCTCTTTCATAATCAAATATATTTGACCTATTGCTAAAGGGAAGGTTTTTTTTTCTTGTCTTTTGTTTTGTTTTTGCAGTGCTGGGGTTTGAACTCAGGGTCTTCACCTTGAGCCACTCCACCAGCCCTTTTTTTTTTTTTTTTTTTTTTTTTTTTGTGAAGTGTTTTTTTGAAATAGGGTCTTGTGAACTATTTGCCCAATTTGACTTTGAACCTCGATCCTCCTGATCTGTCTCCTGAGTAGCTAGGATTACAGGCGGGAGCCACCAGCCCCTAGCAAGGGAAGGTTTTAATAGGAGAGGAGCAAAGCATGTCCTCTGTATTTCTGCCCATTGCTTCCTTCTCCCTGTGTTATCCTGACTCTCTCAGGCCTCAGTCCTCCCATCTAGAAAAACAGACAACTAATCCAGCCACTACTTTGGTGATTCTCAAACTGAGGGGTTCCACAAACATTTCACTCAAAAACTTTGTTTTTATTTGCAATGTTTTATGATCTAAACAACTAATTTCAGGGCCCGGTGCAGTGGGTCATACTGCACTCCCAGCTACTTGGGAGATGGAAGTGGGAGGAACTCTGTCCTAGGCCAGCCTGGGCAGAAGGTAGTGAGACCCTATCTCAAAAATGAAAGCACTGGAGATACCACTCAAGTGACACTTGCTTACCATGCACAAACCCTGGGTTCAATCCCCAGTACCACAAAGAAAGGGGAAAAAAAAAAAAGCAAAGCAAAAAAGGGCTGAGGGCATGGTTCGAGTGGTACAGTGCCTGCCTACCAAGCATGAGGCCCAGAGTTCAAACCCCAATACTGCCCAAAACAGAAACCCCAAAACCGGCTGGGCACTGGTGGCTCACACCTGTAGTCTTAGCTCCTTAGGAGCTGAGATCAGAAAGATCGGAAAGATCTGTTTGAGGCCAGCCCGGGCAAAGAGTTCTTGAGACCCCATCTCCAAAATAACCAGAACAAAATGGACTGGACGTGTGGCTCAAGTGGTTAGAGCACCTGCTTTTGTTAAGCTGCAAAAGCCCTGAGTTCCAACCTCAGTCCTATCAATAAAAACAAACAAACCCAAAGCGCTAATTTCAGTTCTATTTCTTCCTAATACTCATCAAATATAAATTCGTAAGCCTATGGCTAAGTGACATGTTCGTCTGTGCACCACGGCCACTGCCTCGTCGGGGAGCCTGGGAAGGAAGCCCCCGGGGGGCGGGTGGCCTTACCTTGTGGGTGAGTGAGTGCTGCTTGAGGTGGTGGACCTGGCTGAACTCCATGCCGCACTCGGTGCACACAAAGGGCCGCACGTTCTGATGCTTGAGCACGTGGTTCTGCAGCTGGCTGCGGTAGTGGAAGGACTTGTCACACTCGAGGCACTGGTAGAGGGTGGGGCCCTGGTGGGAGGCCAGGTGGCGCTTGAGCTGGGTCAGGGTGGAGAAGTCCAGGCCGCACTCGACACAGACATGGCAACGGCCGTTGTCATGCTTGACCTCGTGGGCCTTGAGCTCGCTGGGGTAGGCAAAGCCGCGGCCACAGAAGTGACAGCTGTAGGGCTTGACCTCGGAGTGCAGCAGCATGTGACGTTTGAGGTGACTGGTCTGCGTGAAGGCCTTGTGGCACACCTGGCACTTGTGGGGCCGCGTGCCCTGGTGCGTCAGCAGGTGCGTCTGCAGGTGGCTGGGCTGCTTGAAGAGTTTGCTGCAGTGCGGACACGAGTGTGGCTTGATGCCATTGTGACCCAGGATGTGTGTCACCAGGTTGTACTTGGATGTGTAGGACTTCTCGCACATACGACACTGCCAGCGCTTCTGGCGGTCACCCGCCTCCACCAAGTAGGAGTCGTCGATCTGAACGTTGATGTCCAGACGATCCAGCTGGGCCTTCTTGTGCCGCTCCACGGTCGAGCCTGCAGCATCGGCCTCGAACTCGCCAGCCTCCTGCCACACGAAGCCCTGCTCTGGCTTGACAGGCTCTGGGGACGTCATGGTGGGGGCCTCAGGGTCACTCAGGGGGGCCAGGTGGGGCGGCTCGAAGCCACACTCGGCCGGCAAGGCCTCTGGCCCTGGCAGCGCCATGCCGGGCTCGGGGAAGCCGTCCCGGGCTGGCTCGGGGAAGGGAGGGTCGTAGGCGGCCATGTCCAGCTCTGGCCTTGGAGTTCTCGGCAGGTGCCGAAGAGTCCGGGGCTTGCGGCTGAAGACGCTGAGGTCGATCATCTTGACAGCACTGCTCTGCACCAGGGCCTCGCAGCCGCCACTGGCCACCGCAGCAGGGACGTCTGCTGGGCCTGCATCCTTGTCATCGCCAGGCACGGACACTTCGTAGACCTCCTGCTCCTCTTCCTCCTCCACCTTCTCAAACTTGACCTTGGGCAGCAGCCGTACCGGGGGTCGTGTCTTCCGGCGGGTGTGCTTCTCGAAGGCGGCCTCCACCTCAAATACCTCCTCCTCCACTGGCTCCTCCAGGGCCCGCCCGTTGCAGGCCAGCTGGTAGACATCCGGGCCTGGTGGCCCAGGCTCCCCCATGGTGGCCCCAGACGGATCCGGCCCCAGGTCCGGGTAGAAGACCTCAGCGCTTATGGTGGCTCCAAAGAGCTCATTTTCCGCGACCAGGCCCAGCACGGCAGCCTGAGCCAAGGACAGCACCACCACGGCGTCCGTCTGCGTCCCTGAGTCTTTGAAGCTCTCCATTCCGCGGTGGCCGGCTAGGAAAGCATTGCTGTGGGGGGAGAGGCGCGTGTTACCACTGCCGAGAGGGTGGCAGACCCTGCCAGGCTAGATTTGGGCGCGTCCACCCCACATCTTCCTACTCCTGCCTTGACAGCAGGACGTACAGAGGAGCAGTGACACCCGCTGAGTCTCAAACCATGTCCTCCACCTCCCTGTGGGCTCCTGTGTGAGCCCTGCCCTTTGCTGGCCTCAGTCTTCCCATCTGTAAAATAGGGAACTAGACTTCTTCCACGATCTCAAACTGTGTCCTGCTGGCCCTGGAAGCAGTCTTCAGAAATCTGATGCAGAAACGCAAAAACTAACGACTCTACTATTTTAAGAACTGATTAAAAACCCCACCTACTCAAATGTAATCGGTGCCATGTTCCAATAGTCTCACTGGCTGTGACGTCGGGGTAACTAATTTCCTACAGACTTGAGATGACCGTCACCATTCGTGACGCCTGGCTGTACGAATGAGGAGTTTTTATAGAGAGAGGGTGAAAACATGACAACACACAAAAATAAATGAGGAGCTGAGGCTCAAACATCAGCCACACCTCCCCCCCGCCCCCCGTCAGACACTAAATGTCTATCACACAGGCCACTGTTTTTCTTGATTAGCTAAATGCGGTGCTTTTAAATATCTAAATTCATATTAATAAAAAGATGGCTTTGTACTGGATTTACAGTCGGAGGTTCTGATCTGAAAGGAGGGCTCCCTGATGGCTGACGGGGGTGAGACCACTCTCTGACTTGAATGCTAAAACTAGCTGTCAGGTTCACAGTCATGGTCTCTGAGCTAACAGGTTCTTACAAACAATCCCAGGGTGTCCCCCTGTCCAGATGCAAACTTCCCCCCCACCCCTCCTCGAGGCTCCCTCCCTCCTCTGGCTGCCTCAGCGTGCACCTGCTCACCTGGCCTTTACACGCACTGTGGCGGTCACTGGGGGCGCCATTTTCCCAGCCTGGCTGGGAGGGGCTGTGATGCATCCTCCCAGGTCTCAGATACTCATGTCCCCTTGCTCTGCCCAGTGGCTCTCCTGGGTGGCTCCCGCCTGCCTCCCCTGCTCTCCTCCCAGGGCCAGGGTGGTGCATGGGCGGCCAGGGACAGGCCTTCCTCAGGAAACTGGCCTAGGCCTGGGGCCACCTCCCCCACCCCTCCCAGCACCCTGTGGAGCTTCCCCTTCCTGAGGCAGGCTAAAAATACCCCAGACAGGAATTCAGCCTCCTTGAAACAAGTCACTAGAGATTAAACTACACAGTTTCCAGCAGATCAGAGAGGTGATGGCTGTCAGTGGCTCACTCGGGTCCATTTGAAACAAACCCCAACCCACTTCAGAACCCCTCCTCCCATGCCCAGCTTGTCAGAAGGGCTCTCCAGACAGCTTCGCCTCAAGTCCCACTCAGTCACTTATAGGTGGCTATGCTTTCACTTCTGTGTCTCAGTTTCCCCATCTAAACCAGGGATGAAAACAGCTACCCTTGGAAAGGGGTGGAGACAGCAAAGGTCAGAGTGCAGGTGACAGGATTAGTCAGTTACCAAACCCTAAGCAAGTAAGAACCACTATCATGTATCTCAGCCACAGGGCTAAGAAGTTTTTCCATCCTGGGAAATTCAGCAAAAGTAGACAGGAGCCAGTAGCTCACGCCTATAATCCCAGCTACTCAGGAGGCACAGATCAGGATGATAGTGGTTTGAAGCCAGCCCGGGCAAGTAGTTCCTTGAGACCCTATCTAAAAAAAACTCAACACAAAACAGGGCTGGCGGAGTGGTTCAAGTGGTAGAGCGTCTGCCTAGCAAGCATGAGGCCCTGAGTTCAAAACCCTAGTATCGCCAAAAAAAAAAAAAAAAAAAAAATTCAGCAAAGCTTGGGGCAAGGCTAGGAACAAGGAACTCAGTTCACTCATCCGTGCAAAAAAAAATTTGCTAAATCCGGCTGGGGGACGGGTCTTGCGCTTAGAGAGGGCAGATGAGACAGGGTCCCTGTCCCCACAGAACCCACAGAGGAGACTCAATGTGTGCCCACAGCCACGCCCAGTGCCCTCCAGTCACTGCGGGGGTTTCCTGAGCAAGCTGAGGTGTCACCGCCACTGTGTCTCTGACACAGCACCATGCAGCAGCCCGTGTGTCAGCTGTGGCTTTCAGCAAACAACCCACTCAGCATTTTTTCTAGACTTCCCCAAGGAAGGAACCCATGGGGAGGGGGAACTGGTCACCATGCTGAAATCTGTGCTTGGAACTTGGCCCTGGGTTCTGAGTTCAAATCCAAGCTCTGCTGCTTATTGGCTGTTACGGCCTTGGCCAAGTCCTTACCTGTTCCTAGCCTCAGTTTCCTCGTTTCTGTAGAGGAGTATTCCTGCCCAGAGGGGACTGAGAAGACAGGCCAAGGACTCAGTGTCTTCTTTTGCTTCCCTCTGAAGCGCCAACACCAGCTACCACCAGGTCTGTGACGCAAAGAAACATTGCAGGTGGGTGACAGGGCAGAAAAGTCAGCCACTGCCTGCCTAGGGCAGCTGGAGCTCAGGTCTGCTGTGTTCCCTCATGGAAGGGTCATCCCGACACTGACCATGCAAACCAGGGCTCCTTGTACAAGGGGTCACTTACTGTCACACTAGGACACAGATGCAAACCGAGCCTGCACTGGCCAACCATGCCTGTTCTTTCTGTAGGGACAAGTGGCTTTGACTGGAGGAGATGTGGGGTCAGGAGCGAGGGCCAACCCAGCGTTCTTGTCGTTTGAGGCTTAGTGCCCACGTGGGGCTGGCAGTGAGCCACAAACCCGGTGGGTGAGCCATTTAGTCCCCCAACAACCCCACAGGGGGTGAGGTGCCGTGCCCCAGGGACCCTGGCTGGGTCTCATCTGAGCCTCTCTGTCCCCAGCCGGCCCGTCAGGCTGTTTCCATCTTGACTGTCAGCTGTGCACAGTATGACTGAGCCTGGCCTACCCTGGGTCACAGGGGCCAGCAGGAGCACCGGGTGAGGCCCAGAGCTCCACAGAACAGCGAGAACCCTCCTCTGGTCCCTAGGTCTACTGGAAGTCACCCTTCAGCTACTGCCCACCTGGCTGATGTGGCTTTGCTTTTACACTGGACATTCACCAGGGCAGAGCACAAACACCCTGCAAGTGACGTGTAATGGGGCTGGGTGCTGTGTCCATGCGGTCCGGTCCCCTGGGGCAGCAGTGCAGTGTGTGCATGTGTGTTTGCGTAAGAGGCTCCACGGGGAGGGGACAGAAGGCAAAAGACGACGACAGACTGACCTGAGCAGTGGGAGGTGGCCTCTAAGCTGGCATCCCTGTGCTCTTCCTCCTCTCCCCATGCCCCTGGCTCCTTCTCAGGAAGGGGTGGGGTGGGGGTGCTGCACCACCAGGGCACCTCACTAGGTCCAGGGCCCCCCTGTGGCATCTTCCTCCAAGGGCAAGGCCTGTCCCCACAAACTGAGAACCAAAGCTCCCAGCAATGTCCAAGAGAGAGGAGCTCGGGGGTGCTGGCCTCTTCCACAGCTAGTGACATGGGGACATCCATTGGCCAGGAGCAGCTTGGCCTCCTAAAGGGGCGCCCTCTCCCCAGGGTGTAAAGAAAGCAGATGTTAAAAGGCAGGGAGAGGGAGAGAGAGCGAGAGCGAGAGCGAGAGAGAGAGAGAGAGAGAGAGAGAGAGAGAGAGAGAGAAGCTGCCTGAGTGTAGCTGTGCTGGGAGTGGGGGAAGGGAAGTCATAGGGGAGGGTGGGAAAGAGAGAGAGAGAGGGAGCGAGAGAAGGGAGGGGAAGAGAGGAAGCAAGGGAGGGAGGGAGGGAGAGGCAGAAGAAATGAAGAAACAAGAGGCAGGGAAGGGGGGCAGAGGAGGAGCCGGGGGAGGGGGAGGGAGAGAGAGAGAAAGAGAGAATCTGTGAAGAAACAAAGCCTGGGCGGGGGAGGGGACGCTGTGACACTGGAAGCCAGGACTGTCCTATTTCCCAGGGCTCAGCATCACCCCTGGGGCCTGAGGGGGGGGATGAAGTCTTAACTCAGACCTTGCTGGACCCTTCCTCATGCTGAATCAGGGACCAAGGCCGCAGAGCCGCTCAGTCTCTCACTGGCAATCTGCCCCATGCTTTGTCCCTTTTTCCACTGAACCACTGTTCCAGGAAACAGTGACCCTTTGGGCAAGTCACCTGCCTCCTCAGGCTTAGGTGGCCAAGGGCCCCTTCCTCTCCGCGGAGACGGAGACGTCTTCACAGCCCTGGCTGCCCTGGGTCACAGATGGGAAGGCAGGGTGCAGGTGGGAGGCCCCTGAGGCCTTGCCTGGCTTGGGGCAGGTGGGACGGAAGCCATTTTGAAGGAAGACCTAACAGGACCTGGTAACCCCAAGATATTCTTTGTCTAACTCCCACCACCTCAGGAAGTGCCTCAAAAGCCAACTAGAGAGTCTGGCCTTGGGCTGGTAGCGTGGCTCAAGTGGTAGAGCGCCTGCCTGGCAAGCACAAAGCCCTGAGTTCAAACCCAAGTATGGCCAAAAAAAAAAAGCAAACAAAAACCCAGTGGTGCCTGCCTGTAATCCCAGCCCTCGGGAGGCTGAGGTAGAAGAATCCAATCCTGAGTCCCACAACAGAACCACTGACTTCACACTGAGTACCTACTGGGTGCGGGCCAGTGTGTACAGCAGGGAACAGACCAACAGGTGGAGGAGGTGCAGCTCTGCCTCGGTGGATGGGGACAGCTCACGGGGGTGGCCCTGGCTTCCCTTTCTGGCTCCTGCCACCAGCTGTGCTACTGGTTGTGGGGTGGCTATAGGAACTGGGGCCTCTGGGCCTGGAGAGGGCCCAAGTGTGGGCTGGGAACGGGAAATGGAAACCTTCCTCCTCACAGGAGCCTTGCAGGTGAGCCGGCTCCCAGCCCAGAGAGGGAGAGGAAGCGAAAGCCCACGCCGGGGGGTGGCGGTGTTGGTTGTGCAAACGTTGGGGCTCCTTCTGCAGTTCACAAGGCCTCACTCAGCAGTGGGGCCCGGCAGGGTGGGGCTGGGGAAGTGAGTCTCTTCCTTACCGGGTCCTCTCTCTGCCTCAGCTTCCCCTTTTCTCTGTGGGTAGATTTGCTGAGGCCCAACTCCAGGAGGTGGCATCTGGACCACCAAGGCACAAGTCACACAGGGGTCTGACACCTTGTTGAGCCCTTCTCTTTCTCTCTCTCTCTCTCTTTAAGATGGAATCAGGCTATGTTGCCCAGGCTGACCTCAAATGCCACCCTTCTGCCTCAGCCTCCTGAGCACTGCCATGTCTGGTGCAGTCTGGTCTTTTTTTAAAAGGACTGAGGCGCAGGAAGGGGCCCGGTCTGAGGTCACACAGGGAGTTTGATGGTGGTGAAGCAAAGGCTGGAATACAGACCTCTGGCCTAGGCACCCAACCTCAGCCCTGTGGCCTGGGGGGTGCAGCTCACGTGCTTCTGCTTGCTGCCCTAAGCTGTCCTCAGCCAGGCTCATACACTGACACTTCCTACCCCAGGGCTTTCGCACCTGCTGCCTTTTCCTTGCACTGGGATTCAGTACAGGCACCTCCCTCCAGGGAAGTGTAGTGAGGCAGGTCAGAGCCCTCTTCCCCAACTGAGAACATCGCTGTGACTGTTTTTGTGGTGCTGGAGATGGAACCCAGGGCCTTGCACATTGTAGACAAGTACTCTTACAACTGAGCGATATCTTCCTTACCTGTGGCTAAGCTATGGTGTCCTGTTGTTCGGTCAAACACTCATTTAGATGTTGCTAAAAAAACATTTTGTAGATGTAACATTTATAGTAAGTAAAAAAGCAGTTAATCCTCCAAAGCATGGGTGGGCCACATCCAATCAGTTGAAGGCTTTAGGATCAAAAATTGATACTTAGCAGAAAAGGCATTCTGCCTTAAGACTATAACTTATACTGTGAGTTTCCAGCCTGCTCTACAGATTTTGCTCGCACAATCGTACGAGCCAAGTTCTTAAAGCAAACTTTTCTCTCCATCCTACTGGTTCTGCCTCTCTGGAGAGCCCTGCCGGATACAATCACAATGACTCACAATCATAGCTGTTGATGGTCCTCCCCCGCCCCAGATAGTGGGTGGCCACAAGAGCTGGTCTTAGACCCTTCACTACAGGGCTGGAACTTTGGGGACCACCATGTCCAACACTGTCACCTTACAGATGTAAAGACAGGGCCCCTCCTGCTTCCAGGCCCCTCAACAGGCTGTCTGTCCTCTGTGGAGGCGGAGTGTGCGTGAGGGTGGGCTAAGTGGGGTGTGGGTGTGAGAATTTCCACTAGTCAGCCCTCCTGCAGGACGTTTTTGAGCTCTTAAGAGTTCTGTTGCCAGGCACCAGTGGCTCACCCCTGTAATCCCAGCTACTTGGGAGGCTGAGATTGGGAGGATCATGGTTTGAGGTCAGCCTGGGCAAATAGTTCTTGAGACTCCCATCTCCAAAAACAACCAGAACAAAATGGACTGGAGGTGTGGCTCAAGTGGTACAGCACTTGTTTTGAAGCCCTGAGTTCAAACTCCAGTCCCCCCCCCCACAAAAAAAAAAAAAATAAAGAGTGCTGCCATGTGCCTCTTTCCCTCAAATGCTGAGTCAGGTAGTGGGGGAGAGAGAACAGACACAAGCATCACGCATGTACCAATTGGTCATGTCACCTGCCGTGTGTCCCACTGTCTTGAAATCCAGGACAAACACACCTGCAAGACCTAGGTGAACTTGCCTGGCCGGACCCTGCCCAGGTGGCCACTTCACAGGACCCGACTGTCCCATTCCTCTGATCATTTCCTAACAGACTGCACCTGCACACGGCCTTCGCACGTGCTGTTCCTTGTGGCTGGAACACACTTCCTCGTTCCTCACCCTGAACACCTCCAACCAGGTCTGGCGCCCCACGATCTCAGCAGTTTCTTTCTTGGACCTCACCATAATTTTTGGTGACAGCCTAACGGTGTGTTTGTACAATCACTTCCTTAATACCTGGCATCCCCATTAGATGACAGACGCCCCAGGGGCAGAGAGAGAACTGGTGGTGCTGCTCATCACTGCATCCCCAGCAGAGACACCTCCAGAGGGAACCACTGCCCTTTTGAGATGGCCACATCCAAGGGCAAAAAACCAAAGAGGCCATCGCTTTGGAAAGCAGCCAGTGGACTCCCCCTCCCCACTTCCTTTTCCTGTGCCTCAGGACCAGGCCAGCAGGCTTCACATTTCTGGAAGTCTCCTTGTTAAAAGCACCTCTGCCCCCCAAGCAAGGACACTGCGCTGGACCCCAAAGTCACCAGCTTAATGTAATAGGGAAAAAAACCAAACAGAACTTTGCTTCACAAGTTCAACGGCCAAAGATAAGAATCACAAATGAAGGACTGAACTGTGTCAGGCCTTGCGATGGGGACACGCCAGCTAGCCCTCTGAGCAGTCCTTTGGGGGTGGAGAGTACCATTTCTATCTTACATAGAGGGAAACTGAGGCAGTCCCCACAGGCAGGGTGGATGCCCGCTCCCCCACCCCCAGGGTCTGCCCGGGATCAAGACCTCTCTCTCCATCAGCAGCTCTTGGTGGGGCTGGACTTTCCCCTCTTCCTCCCCTGCCAGCCTCAGCTCAGACTGGGAGCCCCCATGGCCTCTCTTCCTCCTCATCAAGTCTAGGTCCCTCCCTTCTGAGATCTCCGCCTTCACCATCCTGTCCTCCTCTCCTCTCCCTCGTTCCTCCTCTCTCCCGTTTCCGTGGCAACCCCATCCTCCGCTCTGCCACTCGGTCCTGCGTTCCCACCGCATCTCTTTCCTCTTTCATCTCTTTCCTCGGCACAGTGCAGAGTCCTGTCCCCACCCCGCCCTGCCCCGGTGTCCTTTGCTCCATCTCAGGGTGACATTTATTTATCTCTTGCTTAAAAAGAAAAAAAGGGAGGAAGGGAAGAACCCCATTCCGTCAGTCCTGTCTTTTCCAGTCCAGTCCTGGCCTTTTTCTCGGCTCTTTCCTAAGCACTGGGGCCCCAGTCGGGAGGAGGAAGGAGACAGAGCCCCCGCCTGCAGTGAGGCTCTCACTGACCTCACCTGGGGAAGGAGGAGGCAGACACACAGGTGGCAGGTGCGGGGGTTTGGGGGAGGCTCACTCGGGGAGGTACCCTAGGGAGAGGCCCTGGTTCTCAGAGGTCAGCTTAGGGGAGAAGCCACTCAGAATGGACAAATGGCCGGCAGGGCCTAACGCATGGT